GGGAAGGAGCTGAGCCCCGGGAGCCGGAGGGAACGGGCACGGGCTGAGCCCCGGGAACGGGCTGTGCCCCGGGAACCGGAGGGAACGGGCACGGGCTGAGCCCCGGGAACGGGCTGTGCCCCGGGAACCGGAGGGAACGGGCACGGGCTGAGCCCCGGGAACGGGCTGTGCCCCGGGAACCGGAGGGAACGGGCACGGGCTGAGCCCCGGGAACGGGCTGTGCCCCGGGAACCGGAGGGAACGGGCACGGGCTGAGCCCCGGGAACGGGCTGTGCCCCGGGAACCGGAGGGAACGGGAACGGGCTGAGCCCTCCGGCCTGTCCTTTCTCCTGCCCAGCCCCCGGGATTCCCGGGGAAGGTGCCCAGCCCGCCCCGCCACCCCCAGCACAAACTGCCAGGGAAGGGGATAACAAATCTACTTTTAATAAAAAACTGCCAGTTTGTCAATAAACATAAACCAGAATTGTTAAGATGCACAGAGAGAAGTTAAAAAGGGACTAAAATGGATTCATTTCTCACCCAGAGGTGAAGCAGCACCCAGGGGTGAGGAGGCTCCTCCAGCCCAGCTGGACATCGTGGGACATAAACAAGTGGGTTTTGGGCTGAGAAGTTCCAGGTTCGGTCTTGCAGCCAAATTTCTTCCACTGCTTGGTAAGAAAACCCATTTCATCTTTCCTTGCAGTGCAAGGGGCTGAGTGACTGCAGAGCAAGAGGGGCAGCTCTTAATATTTAGCTCATTAAAATTGTTATGCTGAGGGTTAAAAATTCATTGTTTTTTGCAGCTGTTAGTACACAGTAGTTTTGTAATTTATTTTTATTTCACTTGGGCATATAAATAAAGAGTCAAAACAAGTGTAACTTTTGAGCAAACTCATTATTTATGTATCCCAACCTTAATTTAAATGACAGCTATTTCAATTCACTGACATTCCTGTCTAAGATAAACAAATTTAACGCTTCTGAATAAATATTTTTACTTAATGGACCCAAGTTAGAATCTTTTGCAGCCCAGCCCAGGACACCTATAACACAATACTCACTATAAAATAATCAGTAAAAAAAAAATATTAAAAATGTACATATAAAAACACAAGCTTCTTGTTTACATGCCCCAAACAAACATGTATCTAACTCAGGAGCCAGAAATGCTGTGCTGAAATGATGGCAGGAAGCTTTAACAGAAAAGATTAAGCAGAAAGCAGGGCTTTTCACTTGAAAGAAGCATAATGAAACATTTTTGTTCCCTCAAAAAAATTCTGGAAATACTAACATAAATAGGTGTTTCACTATGCTAAAAAAAGGCATTAGCCTAGATTAGTTGGAAGTCCAGATTCTAAACAAGTTGAAAATACCCAATTTAGCTTCAAAGGCAATTTTCAGAGATGATGAAGGTTTAAGCTCTTTGGAATGACACTTCCTTCCTCTCCCTGTGCAAAATGAACAAGATTGGAAATAAGAGAATTCACCAGCCTGGGACTTCACCCAGTGCCAGGATCCCTCTGTCTTCCACCTACATGGCTGGACATCCACAGCCAAAAGGAAAACATGCTCTTCTCCCTTCATACACAACCCTTCAGGTGGGAGTCAACTCAAATCACTGGTTTTTATTCCCCTGTCACTTCCAGCACACGGAATTTGAACAGGAAGGGCTGCTGACATTTCATTGGGGCAGCTTCAAGCAAACACCAAAGCCATGAATGTGCATCACTGCTGAATGAAAGGCTGTTGGGCTGTGGTGTAACAGCAGGAGCAGAATTCCCCCAAAGCAGGATCCTGTTTACATGGAAATATCTGGTAATAAACAGGGAGAAACTCCAGAAATTCATGTCATACTAAAAGCTGATTTACACAATCCTGCAAAGAGCTAGAAAAAAATAGTTCCCTTTAAGTCTTATACACACTAGAGCAAACACCTGATACTGCAGTTTGGTTGCCAATATATACACCTTTCCCATCATGAGGTAAAATGTTAAAATAAGCAAACAAAACAATTAGAATGAAAGCACAAGTATGAGCTACACTAGCATTAGGCTGCTGGAAAATCACAAATGGGTGAGATCAACAATTTTGTTTCTTCCCACTTTTTGATTAATGACATTTGTAAGCAACAGGACTTTTTTGCTGTTGGTTCTGCTGAGCTGTTTTGCACTATAATCAGCAAATTAATCACATTCACAATAAATAATGCATAGGAAGGCAAGGATTAGGACAGTGAAGTGGCATGTTTCACCGTATCATTCTCCAGAAGTAGCTACTTGGTTCAACATTCTGGATCTGAACAACAGAAATACAGGGATTCCTTTTATTAAGAGATTTCTTTTAAAAAATGGGAACACCACAAAATGAGCAGTTGTTGTTAGCTACAGTCCTACTGGAGATAAATATATATATATATGGTTCTGTTGAAATGAATTATCTCTTCTTTGTTCTCACTGAAAAGAACAAAGGCAGCTTTGTAAATGTTTATGAAGGAGATCACCTAACTGAACCAAAGAAATCATTTACATTTCTAATAGACAGACACAGCATCTAAATAAACTGAACCAATACAACTGGCAGTCTGGGACCCTGCTCTTCCTTTCCTTAAGTGACTGGATTTAAGGCTCCTTTCAAGCATTTGAACAGAGAATAATTTTAATGAAGGTTTCAACCTCTCTGCAGAGTCAGATGTTAAAGGAATACAGTCCAGAAAGCTTTAGTGTTAACTACTGCACTGAATTCTACAGCAATCATGGTACTTCAGAACCAAAGAGCAGAGTAAGTTCATGGCAAAAGATAAAAGTGAAGAAATAGACACAAAGGTCTGTGAAAACATCTCCCATTTTGCTGTAGGTGTCCATGGAGCGACTAATCACTTCTGCAGGGATTCCAGACAGTAGAAGAGCAGCAGTCAGAACTGTGGTTTTCACCTTCTTCTCACACTGAAAGAAAAAAACAGTATTAGATCAGTGCTAATCCAATCCTGCTCTACATGCCACACTTGTGCCCATTTCACACACAGCCAGGCACGTTCCAAATTAATGGGCGAGAGCAGCAGGTTGGGATTGATTCTCTCCAGCCACACTCCAGGATTCACAACACTTATCCCAGCTACAGATCCGTGCTGGGAGGGACCCACTGGAGCAGAGTAAGGGGCTGGGTAACAGCAGATACCAACCATGGATGTGAAGTGGGGTTTGTGCAGCAGCTTCTGCATGAGTGGGAAAAGTCCCAGAGAGAGGCAAGCTGGGTGTATAAAGCCAAGCCAGGCACCTCCATTGGCAAAACAGGATTAATCTCATCACACTACTTGTCAAAAAATACTCTGACTTTCCTAACAGAAAAACTACTTAGAATTGAAAACCAACTGTTACTTTCTATTTCAGTATTACTCCATTTGGCAGTTTTATCCTCTGAACTCAGAAAGGCCCAAAATCCTTCTGAAAGTTGTTCTTCTGTCCTTAAGATAAGGAATCCTGAGGATGATAGGATCCCTGTCTGACAGGCAGGGAGAGGTGACAGTGGCTGAAAATGTTGGTAATTTGATGGTACTTGCAGGATATCTTATTTAATCAATTCTAAATTAAGCTTTCAAGAATCTTTCTAGGTTTCCTAGGAGGAAAAAAAAAGGATAACAAGGCCTCATCTGTGTCTAAGTGCAGTAAAAGCAAGTTGTGGGAAGGAACCACCTCTTCAAATTCTGAAGCTGAAGAGCTGATTTTCAAGACAGCAGAAATAAGATCAAAAAGATCCAAGAAAGAAGATAATTCAAGTCTAAGGCTAATTCTCCTGTGGTGTGATACCTCAGCTTAGAATGACTACTCTGAAGCTCAGTTTTCAATTACATACTTAACTACAAAAGAACTGCTGATTTATTCTGATTTTCTACAGGTAATCTATTATTCCTTTTAAAATGCAAATTTTCCCTTTAAACTATGGGTTTAGCATCATTCAGTCCTGCTTTGCACTGTAGACCTGACAACATCACCAACTAAATAACTACTTCAGCACAACTAACTGGGTGAAATATATAAAGCAAGTCACATAGCAAATCTTGCTAATAAGCAGTAAGTTTGACAAACAAGTAAGTGTCTCATTTTAATTTGCCATTCAAACTGATGCCAGCAATGGAATGCAGATCCCTTAAAACCAAAGAACTGCCTCATTTTTTAACAAACACCTCCCATATTTTGTCCAGGTATCCCATGCAAACCAGCTCTTGACAGAGCAAACAGTAACCACAGAAAAGCACAGCCTAGGAGAAAAAGAAAACTTTCCTACAGACAGGAAAGAACTATCTGGCTTTCCTAGTCAGGTGCTTTTAATTAGGATGCAGGTAAGGAAGTTGCTAGTCCACAATTTTACAGCCACTTTAAGATTTAGACTAAGCCAGGGAGATTAAAAACTAGTATAAACTATCAGCACTTGGTAACTCTCAATTCTACAGTTGAAAACAAGGGAAGAATACTTCACATGCGTTGGCCCTAAAACAACAGAACCTAGGCACAAGTTTAAATTTAACACTTCAAATTAATCTAATTGGGAAAAAAAAAATATATTACCTTTGGAAAGTATTTGGACAGTCCCATGTAAGCAAGTTGTAAAGTAAGAAATGGTGCAAATATTGACTGAAGGAACAGAAAAGAACACACAAAAATTAACTTGGTCAGAAGTAGTAACTAAGAAAACACAGAAATGTAATGCTTCCTAAGTCAATTAGGTAGGTAAAAAATAGCATGTGGACAACAGCAACAGTATTATTGAATACTACAAAGCTAAGTAGAGAAGTTTCATGTCAAAATTAAGGTTTTGCCTAATTTTCTTTAAGCCTAAAAACCTGACACTGCAGAAAAGTACAGCAGTGTCAAAATGAGCCCAGGGACAGAGGAGGTGACAGAGGCTGCACCAGGCACACACCTCTGTGCAAGGTACTGCCAGACACCTGGAGTACTGTTTCAGAAGACAGATAAATGAGTAGGATCTGCTCTTCTTGGACAACTATTGCCATTTTTACTCTATTATTCTTTTGTAGACTTCAAACTATGAAGCAGATGGCTCATGCTCACAAAGATAGGAATAAACTTGCAGGGAATTTAAGCTGCAAGAACTATTCCAGTGTTTGTGCTTCTCAAACACTGTTTCATATACTTGTTGAAAATGTAAAGAGTGCCTGAAGTTCCCAGCTCCCAGTTCCCAGCTGGTAGACTTCAGCCCCAGATAAAGGGTATTTTTACAATAAGCTTGCAGTAAACTAGCAGAACAGAATAGGATTGCTTGCTCCCCTGGACTCACCAGGTACTTGCACACAAAAGCCCTCACTGCAATGGCCAGCAGAGCACATCCCACCAATCTAAAAATGCGGAAAGAGTCAAACTCCTCCACTGCATTCCCATTCTCTTGGCTTGGCTTCTCATTCATCAGCTGGTTCCTCAACTTCAGAGCTTCATCAAATCTGGATAAGTACTGCTCTAATCCATGTCTAGGTGGCCGTGGAGCACCTTCAGATGGCAGGTCCCCTCTGGCTCGGTGACGGAGCTCACTTGTGGCCTCACTGAGAAGCTCTGGAGCTTTGCTGAACAAGTCCTTATCCCCTTTGAGGTCTACCATGCTGCCATGGTCAGCTGTGCCTGCCATGCTGCAGACAGAATCACCAAGCACAACTCGCTTGGAAACTGAAGGAATAGGAAGGGAGTTTGATTTATCTTGTTCATGCTGAAGCTTTGATTCTGTGTGACTTTCATCATCTAAGGAAGATAAACGAAAATAACAGAGTTACACACACCAAATATGTGGAACAGTATGTAAGTCATGCTGGACTGGGCCCCTGGATTGATGTCTCCACTTTCAAATTGAAAGGACAGATTTATGATTAATAAATGTGCTAATTAATAATCACAAAGCCACTGGACATACCTGCATACAAGCAACCCCATTTTCAAAGGAGGGATCAGCTGATACAAAGCCTGCTGGTCTATCAAAGGAGAGCTTTACACTCAGACTTAGGTTACACCACCAAGATGATAACAAAAAGAAAAAATCACAGCATGGACCAGACTGAAAACACTCATCAGCTTCACAACACTGTGATTTTACACAGCTGGGCTCAGCACAATCCTGGCTTCCTCCACCAGCTGACAAAGAACCCAACCTGTATGACACACTTTGCATTGCAGGGCACTCAGGGTGCTGTGCAGACACAAGACAGCAGAGCAGCCCAGGCTGGAGCTGAAGCTGTCAGTCAGCAACACAGAAAACATTTGAGGCAGCGAATCACACAGGAGGAACATTAAGGATGACAAATGAGCAGGCAATAGAAGGTACTTTGCCTTATTCTTTGTTCTCAGAGGCAGGGTGTTACCCTGCTTCGTGTTAAACCTGAAGGGTGACCCCACCTCACAGCGATGCAGGTGATGCCAGAGAACACAAACCAATCCCAGAGGCATGCAGAACAGGTCTGGTCCTACCAGGGAGGAAGAACCAACACTTCAGGAATACCTTTCCACAGTAAAGCAGTCTGACTCAGGGCCTAAGGGCATCCTTGTAAACTGAAATCTCAGAAGTTGTCCCTGACAAGATATTCGGCCTCCTTGGAGTACATCAGAGAATGACCTACCTGCCAATCTGCAACAAAACCCTGCATGCCAACCACAAACACCCAGTCACGGCTTATCATCCAAACATGAGAACATTCTGACATTACAAAATAAATAAATAAATAGCTATGAAGCCAAGCAGTCCCTGAATGAAAACGCAGGGGAGGCCGGTTGTTCCTTCAGCGAAGGAAAGCGACTCGAGGCCAAATGGCAGCTCGTGTCTTGTGAGAGCGGCGAGAGGCCTCGCAGCAGCCCCGGCACCGGCGGGTGACACGGGGATGTCCCCCGGGGCTCTCCCCGGGGCCACGGAGGGCCGTGCTTGGCTCAAAGCACCCCGACCCCGCGAGGAGGCCCTGCGGGGCCCA